ATTGATTTCAATAGATGTTCATGTAGACAATGTTATGTTTTCGTTTTCCGCTTTGGTAGTTTTACCGAACAAAGTAATGCATGATCGCTGCTTTGGATTATATTTATTCAAGGATCGCGAAATAAAAATGCTATTTAAATATGAACGCTTTGATCACAATATAGAGGCATAACCGCGAGAGCGATATTTCATCCGACTAAAAACTATCGACTAATTAGTCGATAGTGCCCATCACTACTAACAATAAGACGTCAACAATACCTATACATGATTCATAGTCACTGTCACACAAGTTAGTTTAAAATACAAAAGTAGGTGTTTGTCAGTTCTTTTATATTTAAGTATTAAAAATCTGAGGCAAGATACTGTTTTTAATGAAACAAAAGCGGAATCAGAATATAATGTTTTTCTTGCATCGGAATTTATACTTTGCGCGTGAGTTAAGCGCTCTGTCCAGGATAGGTCGATGAGAAAACATGGCACTGCCCATGGTAGAAGGAGATACATGACACATATAGATATCGTTATCGTTTTCTACTTTAAGTGCATCTTGGTACATCTGTCAAACGTGATATGAGTTTCCTTTCGTCCACCGTATGACAGTTTAGTTAGAAACGTTCGTCTATTATTTAGTACGAGATGGGTATCTTCTTCGCGAAGAAAAAACAGCCGAGTCGTGTCACCGAACAGGACAAGGCTATCCTGGTACGTTTTCGCCCGAATTTCCTAACCTCATCCTAACCTCTTATCTTAATTGTAAATTAGATTCTTATTAATTCCATTGCAGCAATTGAAACAAACTAGGGACAAGATCAAACAGTACCAAAGAAGGATCGAGCAAAACCTTGAGAAAGAACGATTGCTCGCAAAGAAACTAATACAAAATAAGCAGAAAGAGTGAGTGTCAAATGTTTGCATTTTTAGTTTCATACAAATCAGCTTCAAATATATTCATTGAACATGCCATCGTTTATAGGCGAGCTTTACTTCTTCTGCGGAAGAAAAAGTTCCAGGAACAAGTATTATCTAAGACTGATGGCCAGCTGGAGAACCTGGAACACATGGTACACGACTTGGAATTTGCACAAGTGGAGTTGAAGGTTGTGGATGGCCTAAAAGTAGGCAATGCAGCATTGAAGAAACTGCACGATCTCTTGTCAATTGAAGAAATCGAGAAGGTCATGGACGAGACCAAAGAAGGCATTGACAAGCAGAAAGAAATTGATGAACTATTGTCAGGAGAACTTACGACAGAGGACGAGAGCGAGGTTGAAGCAGAACTCGATGCCCTGTTGGCAGCAGAAGTCGAAGAGAACATACCTGAAGTACCAAAAGACGTCGTATTACCAGATGTACCAGAAGAGTTGCCAGAAAAGAAAAAAGGTAAGGCTTTTGCATTATTAATTTATATCCAGACATGTGCAGTAAAAATATATATTTATATACGTAATTGTTACAGATCGTGCTAAAGAGGAAACGCGCGAGAGAGTTGCTCTAGAAGCATAAAATAGTGATGATTACTATTAGAATGTAACTATTATTCTACTGACACTTCGCGCAAGGACTGTGTATATATGTACAGTGCAGTGTATGTAAGGCTCAGCTGGATTGAAGTTTGAAGATTGTAATTAAAGGTATGGAAGTTACGATTTTATTAATAAGCCATCTCTTAAGTACCGAAGACTGTTCTATATTAATACGACGTGCGCGTACATAAATTCGATAACGATGATTTCCAGACAGTGGTTATGGCACATGTACATTTTAAATATTACATATTTCATGAATTGTTAATAATATTACTTATATTTGTACTGCCTCATATGTACAGGTATCTTTTTATCTTATTATTGGCCTCTCTTGTGTGTAGTCATACAAAACTGTAAAAGATTGAAACCTTTTAATAAATACGATTTTATTTATAACGCACCGTGCGATCAGTTCACTTGGATTTTAATAAGAAAGTGAATCGCACAAAAATTCTTGTAAATGGTGACAGGGAAGGAGTACTATTCTTTATGGAATATTAGAATTTTAAAATATTTATATTAATAGGAATAAATATTCATATTAATTGTCGCGTCTTTCGTCGAAACATTCAAATTTGACTCGCAAAAAGAAATTTGCATAGCTCCTTTCTCATTCGCTGTATATGATAAAGAAATATTACAGAAGGTCGCACGTGACAATTGAGTGTAAATTATTCAGAGGGAAGATAAGATAAATCAGCCGTCAAGACATTCTCGAATGTGGCTTATTGTCTTTGAAAATTTTTATTTTTCTCCGCTCGCGTCCTCATGCGTATTTACGAAACAAACGAACACTAATGCGACGACGATAATTAACATTAAATTAATTTATTGGTGATTAAAAAATGAAGCATGTCGTTAAAATTTAACACCTGTCTCATGACACACATATTAAATGAACCATAAATAGATGCTTGCTTCGCGTCGGTTTATGCAAGTTCGTAGAAGATAACTTTACAAGATGGATCGCGTAATTGCGCTACAAGGCGTCATAATTTAATATGATTTGACCTATTCTACACTGTAATCTACATAATTAGACAAACTCATATAGCAGTTTGTATTAGCAATCGCGCAGGCGATCTATGTGACTCATATAATAATGTCTTTTTTTATTAACGTTCATATTTTAAGGTCAACAACATGGTATCTCTTGAATCTGAGAGATTAGATCAGTTAATTAATTTGACATCGATTCAGACTATAGTCGTAAATTACACAAAGTTAGAGAATCATCTTTATCAGTGAGTCGTATGCTTTTTGAGTTCGAATTATCGAATAAACTACTTTATTACTTCATGTTCATAGTTCTCGTATGATTTTAAAGTCAATTCATGAATCTGATGTTTAATTTTCCGGAATGTCAGTATATTTCAATAATATTTGCATCTTGTATCTCGTATAACGAACGAGGGAAACGTGCACAGACTCTGTTCAGTTCAGTAAGCCTTATTTGTACGGTGGAGAACGTCGCTTGAATAGACGATGCCCGATTGTATTTAGCTTGGTCTTCTTGGTCGGATCCAGATAAGACTAGCTTACGGCGCCAATAATAACGTACAAATTGTTTTAACAAATCGTAAGGCGCCTGTAGAGTCATTTCGATGCTAACTATACGATTAACACGATCTCATTGGTCAGGGACAATCGCGCTCTGACAGTGTAATTCCACTTTGATCCGGTGATGAACATCGATAATCAATTGCCGCTGATAATCGTACTATTAGCTGATTGTAAACGAGTTATACATTGAACATCTTAACACTAAAAAATTAATATACTGTTGCTGAGATGCATTTTAATATGCATACTGTTTATCTTATGGCTGGGAACGAATATAGATTTTCATTAGTTATACTATCTCAGTTCCATGTACATTTCAACTTTAAGGATGTATTGGCTATACAGTCAATCCCAAAAGTTTATGTACCTTAGAAAAACGCATT